GGATGTAAAATGCGCACCTTTAATCGCAAACTTAATTGGATGAGAACAAACAATTCCATTTCAGTGTCAAAAAATACAATTCAAACGGAAAGATAAAAGACTGCAATGCACAGGGTGGCATTTGAAGTCTAGTAGAGATAAGTGTGTGGGTGTACAGATATCTGTACAATAGTTTAAAACCTGCTTGGGGACAGCCTAATTACACACTTAAGAGCATATGCTAATAGTGTCTCTCTGTTTATATGAGTCTAATGACAGAGAAAGCCTGGGGGGTGGGCTCTGTACAGTGTGCTGAGCACTAATGCGTCCTCTACCACCCTGCTGTCTGACTCTCTTTCGCCCCTCCTTCTATTCCTCCTTCAACACAGCTTCACACACCTGGTGGTTTGTAATGTCTATGGTAGCCTCAGGTAAGATGCCTGAGTATTTACAGACTATTCTGAGCTGTGAGGGGAAACAAATTAAACATCGACAAAGGCATTATTATGACAAATAAATGTAATGGTATCCAACACAGCTGGACATTGAACTTCCCTACGTTTTTCGCGTTTGACCAAAATTTTGTTGTTCAGATTCCTCCTTCTTATTATACTTTGATGAGAGAGTTTCTCACTTTAATTAGATTCTATAGTGTATATCACTCCAAGTGAGATATTGGAAAAAAAAGTATGGATTTATGAACGCTATGGAAACCATTTAAAATTCTTGAGAATTCTCAGATGAAACCCAGCCATACTCTTTAAAAGTACAAAGAAAGAATTATTGTTGCATTGCATCCTGATAAATGTAGTTGCCCTTTTATTAGCGACACCGACCTAAAAACTGATGCAGTCTACAACAACAGCCCCACAGCAAACGCTACGTTCATGAAGGTTCTAATGTTCAGTGTTTGTTGAAACTGTTAATTCAACTTCACGGACATTTTGGAGGCTGTGGTGTTTGGAGTTATTACATTTTATTGGGTCACACTGAGAAAATCATATACATTATATATAATTTAACAAAGGGCTATTAAAGGATTTTAAAAGTTAATTAGCTATATGTGTACCTTCTAAACTGGCCACTGGGTATAACGCTATAAAGTGTATTTCTCTGAGTTTACAATACACACATGAAATGGGCTAAATTTAGTATCTTAACACTTTAGTTTTCTTGACATCAACGCCATAAATGCTACTGAAACAGACCTTGTTGAAAAGCTTTTGTCTGTAATGGTTTGTTTTGGTTGGGTGAATCGTGCCTGACTTACATAATTTCAGACTTCCACTCATACGTCAGTCTAAAGAGGAGAGCCAAAAAAAAAACAAAGAAAAACATTACTTCTACCACAATCGCGCGCTTTCCAAAAACAGCCCCCTCAACTACCTCTGCATCTCTCTTCTCTGTCTCCAACTCACTCTCGATCTCTCTCAGACCTTCTGTCCTCCTCTCACCCACTCCTCCCTCACACATCACACTTCTCATTACTCCACAGTGAGAGGCCAATCTGAGGGAGTGTGAGGAGCATGTGTGTGTGTGTGTGTGTGTGCGCCTGTGTGTGATTGGAGATGTTGCATATCAATGTCTCACTAACCGCTTGTCCATCTTCACCTCTGTTTGGAAGTCAGATAAATTAGAGAAGGTGCACCTTGAAGCCCGAGCACTTGATATTTCTTTGAAGAAACTTGAGTGAATTTTTTCTAAGACTGCAATGAGTGTTGCCGGGCTAAACAACAGCGTTAAGTGACATGGCTGAGTTCAGAACCTGCCACTCTGATTATCATGGATGAACATGTATAACAAAATCAGCAAGTACATCAATAATGTAATAATGTCAAAGTATGTGAGTAAATGGGTAAGTGTTGATTATGTGTGAGTGGTTTGTAGTTTCTACGTGTTGCGGGAATGCAAGATATTTTTTTAATCATGAGAAGAAAAAAATAAAACACAGAAAAAGCAAGGGGAAGGCTAATATATATAGTTTTTACAAAAGTACATAATAAAAAGTATGCACTTATTAGCTTATTCAAGAACACAATCCCTCTTTATATGCCCTTGTGTTAAAGCTGAGGAAATTGTGCATTATGCTCAACTATTTGTTTTTGCTACGGAGGCAAAAATATGGAATCTCACCAAGCCATGAATGCCAATTTTGTTTATGAAGCTAAACACTCTAGTATTCCGTGTTTCTGCTGCTTGTTGTAGTGTCCACTTGTAAATTATGCTGAACCACCAGTTGTGTGCAATGATGCTTACAGAATACATTTCAAAAGTTGTTGATTGCAACTTTTAGGCGACTACTTGCGGTTGAACATAATAGACCTGCCAGTATCCGTGATGTGAAAGATAAATTAGCCACTTGTTAACAAAAGAGGCACAGCAGTGATTAAGAATTAGCAAATGAAGAAAACAACGAGCCAAAGGAAGAAGTGTTTTAGTGACGTGTGGAAGACAATGGAAGTAATCCAGACTTTAAGGTTGCAGGAAGAAAAAAGTGACCAAATGAGGCTCTTCAAGTCTTTGCACTATCAAAAATAACATGGCAACCTTTTGACTGTATAAGAAAAAATCTCAGCCTCCAATGGTTCATGCATTGTAGCGCGGCTCAAAAGCTTCTGAGGTGACGTCAGGGAGAACAGACCAAAATCACTGGCTTCTGCAAGGCTAGGAGAATATGGGCCAGTGCTGATAATCCATCTGCCAAGGCCAAGCTATTCGTATTCACTTGAATAGGACGTGTCCTAATTTGGGCGTGTGTCAGCTTATGTTTATGTGCATCTTAATACTCACGCATCTACTTCCTGCATCAGATCCAGCTTGCCTGGGAAAATCTCAGACAGAAGCACTCGAGTGAAGGACTTGCCCAATGAATGGAGCCTTGACTCCAGGTGCTAGGAGGAGAAAGAAGTAAAGTAAAATGACAAAGGGAAAGGTTTAAATAAATCCACACATCAAACAGAATCCTCTCCAGTGCTGTGAAACTAAACAGAATCAAATGAGAAGCTACAAATCACAAAACCCATGACTCCCTCACACACAGACAGTGTAATCTATATATGCAATCTAGGGTTGTCCTGACATTTTTGCTTTAGTGTTTTTAATCACAGCAGGAAGACTATTTCATCCAGCTCTAAGTTTCTGAAGCAACATATACGCATCCATTGCAAGGTAGCAGACAGATTTGGCTCCTCAGCCTCGTCCTGGCACTCTCACGCCAGGTGGGATGTGTAATCCTTGTAGCACCAATCATGTAATAATAACCTCAATGTAAAAACGCCTACAAATGTAATACAATTTGCACTTACTCTGATCTAAAATGTAATAAAACCCAATAATATAATAACTCGAACAATAATGTACTAAACGTCTTGACTGATGTTTTAACAGGTGGGTCATTTTAGTTAAAAACTGGCAATGTAGTCATTTTGACAGATAATGTCACAAAGTATGCTTTTTTTATTTGAAATATAAAGTGTACAAGTATACAGAATTGATGGTACTGTCAGTGTCATGATAGTCTACTGAAGACCCAAAATTTGACACTGATTTCATGTTTGGAAATGGAAAGTCTAGGCTTTATTTAGAATTAGAAATTTACAACTGATGACAAGTAGCACGTTGTTAGATGGAACTAAAATCCCTATCAATGGGAAATGATGCTGATTGGTTACTGTCCAAGGATTGTCCATTAGACCAGAGTGGATCTTAGCATTTTACTTCCATGTCATTGACAGGAATGCATCAGGATGCATTAGCATTTACACTACTAAACGATATGTGGTCCCAGACCACCTCAGCTAGCGGTTTGAGCGATCAGATCACAATGCCTCTTGGTGTTCATCAACACTTGTATTTAGCGCCGTCCACTTCCAATCTCTCAAGACGCATTTTAAAATTTAGTGTAAACAGGATCAGCTCAGTTTCTCTCAGTTTCTACCCGGAGCTCAAAACTGCAGGAGAGGGGGAGGAGGTCAGAACTTCATACCGAGCACCGCTTCAGACTCCATCTTCACAATGCCCACATTACTGCTGACACTGAGCAAATCCACCTGTCAATGTCATACTACACCTCACATTCACAAATAAACAAGATCCTGTGATACTTGAAATCCTTCACTTCTGACCGCAATTTCACTGTCAACCTAAAGAGAGGAATCCTGTGTTTTTAGACTGAGTATCATACCCTCAGACTTGGGTTGAATCTCGCAATCACTTCACACTCAGCAGTAAACCAGTAAAATGCGTACTAGAGGTAACAGCCTGATGAAGCAAACAGCACTACATCATCAGCAAATATGCGATCTTTAGGTCACCAAACTGGGGTTTCTCAAATCCTTGGATGCACTTAGAGATTATATCCATCATAGAATTGGGGAAAAAAGCAAAACCCAGTCCAACTCCCATGAGAACAAACTTCTACCATTTGTTGCCGATAGACACAACTCCCACTCTATTTTTGAAGTGCCACTCACAACGTCCTGAGGTCACAATCATACACCTTCACGTCCATAAAACGTGTGAACTTTAGGAAAGGGCTGGTCTATTGTTTGCTGATGAGCCATTATAGTCCATGACTCGCAGTCATATACAGTGCCTTGCATAAGTATTCACCCCCCTTGGATGTTTCATGTTTGCTTTTATACATGAAATCATGGTCAATATAATTTGGCTTTTTTGACAAGAATTTGCAAAAAAAATAAACTTAATATCAAAGTGAAAACAGATTTTTACAAAATAATGTCAATTAATTAAAACATATAAAGTAAAGTAAAGATTGCATAAGTATTCACCCCCTTCAGGTCAGTATTTAGTAAATGCACCTTTGGTCCAGCCACAAATTCTCGATTGGATTGAGGTCTGGGCTTTGACTTGACCACTCCAGAACATTCACCTTGTGGTCTTTGAACCATTCTGTGTAGCTTTTGCTGTATGCTTGGGGTTGTTGTCTTGCTGGAGAATAAATCTTCTCCCAAGTCGTAGTTCTCTTGCAGACTGAGTCAGATTACCCTCCAGGATTTGGTGATATTTTTCTGCATTCATGTCCCCCTCTACCTTTACAAGCCTTCCAGGGTCTGCTGCTGAGAAGCATCCCCAGAGCATGATGCTGCCACCACCATGCTTCACAGTGGACATGGTGCGTTTGTGGTGATGTGCAGTGTTTGGTGTTCACCAAACATAGCGTCTAGTCTGATGGTCAAAAAGCTAAATTTGTGTCTCATCAGACCAAAGAACCTTCTTCCAATTGACCTTGGAGTCTCCCACATGCCTTTGGGCGGATTCTTTCTACAGTGTCTTTCTCTTTGCCACTCTCCCTATACAGCTTCGACTGGTGAAGAGCCAGGGCAACAGTTGCTGTATGTACAGTCTCTCCCATCTGAGTCACTGAAGCTTTGAACTCCTTCAGAGTGGTCCTAGGTGTCTTGGTGGCCTCCCTCATCAGTCCTCTTCTTGCCCGTTCACTCAGTTTGTGAGGGTTAGGGTCTAGGAGATTTAAACAAGTACCATACTCCTTCCAATTCTTAATGATGGACTGAACTGAACTCTGTGGGATGTCCAGTGAGTTGGAAATATTTTTGTAGCCATCTCCTGACTTGTACTTTTCAATGATCTTTTCTCTGAGTTGCTTGGAGTGTTATTTTGTCTTCATGTTGCAATTGTAGCAGGAATACTGATGAACCAGAGACTGGACCTCCCAGACAGGTGTTTTTATACTAAATTCACTTGACACACAGGTCAACTGCACTCAGGTCATCTCCATTTCACTACTTGTGACACTGGTGGCATCAACTAGCTGGACTTCTGTTGAATTAGGTCAGTCACTTTAAAGGGGGTGAATATTTATGCAAACACTTATTTTACACTACATATTTTTAATTAATTGACGTTAGTTTGTAAAAATCTGTTTTCACTTTGACATGAAAGAAGCTTTTTTTTGCAAATTCTTGACAAAAAAGCCAAATTATACGGACCATGATTTCATGTATAAAAGCAACAAAAGGGGAAAACATCCAAGGGGGGTGAATAGTTATGTAAGGCACTGTAGATGTGGCCTTCCTTTTCTACATGCAAAACAGTGCGTTGTGGATTTTTAAAGGCCGATATAATAATGATAGTTTGGAGCAGGTAAGAGCAGACAGATGATTAATCAGCCAAAATGAATACCAAACTCAAATTATACCTCAATAAATAGCTTATAAGAAGCTGGAACTGAACAGCAAACGCAAAGTAATTAATAAATGAATCTGGAACAGAACATCAAACTACCCATAAGAAAAAAAAATCTAAGCAAGAGCATTTTTATTTTTTGAAAGAGAGAAGTCAAAGTTTTATCATCACAACATCAGTCTGTGTTCATGACGTGCTTTACTTCTGTTGACTTCTTTTGCATACAACATTTTCAATAAACCCTTTATTTGTCACTCCGTATTAGTAAGAGAATATCTTGGATCTAGATTTGATGGATTACGAGCTTCAAACGGATGCGTGACACATGGTGAAGTGACGACCAATCACAGGTTTTTGTTTTACTCCGTTCTGTACCATCTAAAAAAATGCCGTTAGCCAGTCTCCAGTGCCATTTAACGACTTAACTACGTCAACGAGTGCCCGAGAAACACTTTGACAATGACTCGCCGACAAAGTAGCTTGCCATCTTGGCCGTTTTGTTGCTGTTGTCGCTCGTAGTGTGAACCTAGTATTACACTTCAGACAACTCTGAGTACTCAGCCAGGAGTCTGGCTCCAGAATTGATGCTATGTGTAGAGGTGAGCCCAACTTTATCTTTATAAGCAAGGGTTTAGCACACAAAGGCCCTCAGCCTTGCCTTATGTTTTCCAAGTCACCAGACTCCTACACCACCCTGGTGGGGATAGTGGGCCCATGTGGAGGTGGGCCCACTTTACTTCCTCATATTGAGCTGGATCGGGCACCTTGGGTACAAGCTTAGACACTTATATGGCATATCAATAAATTAAACTGTTTAGCCACTTCAAGGAATTCTTCTCCTTGCTGTCTCTGCCTTGAAGTTTTGGGCATTAACTGAGGTGTTATTCAGGGGTGCAGAGAGTCAGCCAAACCAAGGGAAGAAATCCCATAAATGTTCTTTTGGTAAGATAAAGGTATGAGAGTTGCTGATATCCACTGTCCTTGGGAGTATCATGAGACATTTCTACAACTGTGCTCTTATCAGAGATAGTTCTGTCCCCTTACTTGAGAGGATATCTTACACTGTACTTCTTAATCTCGACAGATCGTTATGGTAGAGCTGGTGGGCCTTTTTATTCAAATCCAATTTTTTTTTTATACATCCTCTCCCTGCCACTCGAAACAGAAACTTTTCGCTCTCTGGTTGACATTTGTACATCAATGGTAACTTCATCTTTCATGTCTGGATATATTCAAACAGGAGAAGCGCACCAATATAAGCCGAAAAAATGTTTACTCCACGCCTAGTTCTGGAGAGTTCTTTTAACCTTTTACATCTAGAGGTCCAAGCATTCTAGCGATTATGTGAAGACAGTATAGCTACTAAACAAAGTCAACCACACAACAGTACAGAAAAAAAGGAGAAAGAATGAAGAGAACGGGCAGTGAAGGGGAAAGCAGCAGGAGGAGAAACAATGGGTTAGTAGTGACCAGAAAGGACTTCTCGGTCGATCAATTAGTACTCCCAGTCAGAGACGGAATTGTGGGCATGCTAATGCGGAACAGCTCATACTCGCAAAGACTTTCAGTTCCTCACTCAACACACTACTGGACCAGCAGTAGCGTACAAACACAAAGTACCTATGAATACGTTTCACAGGATTATTACAGTGACATTATTATAACATGAGAAGCAATTTTGAGTGACAGATTTTCTGATTGAATTTAGGATTCAAATAGTTAATTGACTACACATTTATATGTTGTGCTTGGAATTGTTAATTGCTGAGGAAAAGCAGGGATTTCATATATTATCTTTTAACCCTTTGAATATTGATTTGTAATTGTTTCTCACATACATTGCCGAATCAATAAAAGAACTTGCTTAAAACCACTAGTACTAATACAACCAGCCTTGAGGCCAACAGCAAGATCAACATAGGGCTCTCTAAGGCTGTTTGGCAGCATCATTCTAAATGTGAAATAACAAGCTCCCAGTGTGAAGACTGCTGGTCCTATTAGTACTTCATGTCACCAAACCATTTGTCAGAGAAACTCACACTGCTAAATATTACAAGCCATTGCACAAGTGGCCTTAGGACATGTAGACTGTGAGGATGCAGACTCTCACCTCCATGACTTTGGGGCTGCCCTGCCGGCCCAGCGTGCCCATGATCAGGCCCCATCTCTGGGCCGATCGAGCCTTGTCAATAGCCTGGAGCCTCAATGCACGCATGGCTTCGTGGTCATAGTACTCCCTGGAGAAGACCTTACTGTAGGGGTCATATCTACAAACAAACATAGGCAGGAAAAGGCAAAGACACACCAATGTTAGTGGAACGTATACACATAAAATGACCATATCATACATACTACCAAGTACCAACTATTGTTCAGCTATCTGTCTTGAAGACAGAAATGCAATAAAAGATGAAAAAATCCAATCATGAAAAGCCATCAAGTATGACAGGAGTTGGTGTATCTTAAGAAAAATTGAGGTATTTCTGAGCATCTAATCTCCTTTTCTCCGGTACAAGAGGTTCCCTTGAGATTAGAATCTTGTTTATGAGCGAGACCTGTGATCTGTGCAGCAGTGCATATGTCTATAACGACAAAATGTCACTTTGCATACAAACAAGACCTCATCAAAACAGAACTTCATCCTCACAAAATGTTATTATCACGACACTGCAATACGATGAGTGATCATAACTGCAAGGGACTATTTTATGTGAAAAACATCATATTTTCTATGCATAAAACATTTTTCTTTGGATATGAAAAAATGAACACTATTACATTTGTAACATGACTTTTATCCTTAGTTTGCCAATTTCTGCTGTTAAATTTGTTTATTTAGATCCCAAAACGTGTTAACACAATAAAGCTGTGGTGCTAACTGACTAGAATGAACATTTTGTAGATGACGTCAATATTTTTACAGAGAAACGGAAATATTTCATGACAAATGGCATCATTTTGTTCCACAATACCTGTAAGCAGGGATGTCTGGGTTTGCGATCATGATTGACTCCAGGTGAAATCTTCCATCTCCCAGATAACTATAGAAAAACACCATGCAATTCAATTTTAAACAATTTGTGAGAAGGAACCCCCTCTCGACAATAAAATGCTATGTGCAACCACAATAAATACTGGCCTATCATTCTCTTACACCGGCTTTCTCTCTCGCTCTCTTTTTAAATCAATTCCTCTCTCTGCAGCCTTTTTAACAGAAGACCAAAGTGTTACCAGGCAGAAGGCCTGAGGCCTGGGGCGGAGGGTCTTCCCATCTCTGCTGTCGGGGAACATGACCCCAACGATTGGAGCATGCTGTTTACAGAGAATGCAAGCCCTTGCAATTAACCCAGGGTCTGGTGCTGGGGATACACCAGAGACCGAGTGGAAGCAGAGTTACACCAGAGACCGAGTGGAAGCAGAGTTCACCGACCATAAGCACACGGAGGAATGTAGGTGCCTGGAAACACAAGCTCAGGCGGAACGGCCTCATAAACTCCCCTCTCAGAGTCGGGCTGAGAAGAATCCTGCTGATAGTGTGAGGGGGCTTAGGTCGGTACCCCTGCTCATTACTGTACGGTCTCAGTGGGCCTATTGACTTGCAATTAAATCCACTAATTGGTCAACGTTTAGAGCAGCTTGAATCAGGCTGTGGGTGATTTACCATATAGGCTACCTGGAGACATGTCTCGACAATACTTTATTTTTAAGTGTGTGTGTGTGTGTGTGTGTCAAAGTACACATGCATCTCTCGCTGTGCGTGTCTGTCACAAATAACAATTAACGACAACACAAAATGTACCCGAGCAGCGCCTCTGTTGCATTGCTTCTCTTTGCTTAGCAACATCCAAGGCCTTTATACAATTATGTTCACAATACACCTGCTGCACTTTGGCCGTGGTGGTCCACAGCTCTCTGTAGCTTCAAGAGGCTGGGGTGTGCTCGGCTCTAAAGCTACCGTCACAGTCCTTCCATTCATATTCTATTGTTCTTTGTTAAGAGTGCTCTCGCTATGATGGTAATGCTCTGCGTCTTTGAATTATGCAACACCATATCTTCGGGTTCACATCTTTATATTGTTCCATTACGAGCGGGAGCTGGAGTGGAGGAAGCGGATAGAAATGGTTCACTGATCATAGCTCTTTTCATTGCAGCTTTTAAAAAGAATTCTCTTCATTATAGAAATGAGACAGCCCGGGCCATTTCTAAAGCGTCAAGATGGGGCTCAGAGACTAATACACCCCTACTCATTTTCCATAATGCTCAAGTAGCTCAAAGCCTAGGTAAAATGCAATTACAACAAAAAAAAAAAAATTCTGGAGCACTTACTCACAGCTAATTAATGTAAGATAACCCAATGTTAAATATGAATTTACTGTACGATTAAAGGTGATGGGGGTAAAAAAAAAAAATCATGCATTGTTCAAAAGAGCTTGCTCTCTGCTCAGTGCTGCAATTGTGTCAATACTTCAACAGTGATTCATTAAAGTAGAAGGAAGCTAGTTAATAGAGGGGAACTAGCATTCAGTAATTAAGCTTTGGAGACATGCTTTCACAGCTTAATAAAACATTTCTTCCATTTACGTCTATGATTAAAATTGTACATTGTGTTTGGAGGAGTGGAGGAGAGTGAAGGAGGTAGATACAGCCCACGTCAGTAGGGTTGAAGTCCTGACCACGTCCGTAATTTGTACATGTGAAGATTCTGAGTGTGTGAGAGAGAGCGAGAGAGAGAGACGTGCCAACTCTCATGCAGTTTAATCGATTCTTTCTCCCATCACACCACTACACACCCCGACTCACACATCAAAGACAACGCACATTGGATTAGTAGGTGAAGCACACCCTAACTCTTCCACTTCCACGTACAAACACACACACTAAGAAAGACACACACACACACACACACACACACACACACACACACCACTTTTACCTCCCATAGGGCCTGGCTTATGCATATGGCAAAGTGTATCCTTGTGTAGCTATTTTAATCTCATGCACTAAGAGGTTGTAATCACATGGACTAACACTAGATGTGTGCAAATCAGACATACCAGGTTATGCACTTAAGACACCCGGGGAATTGCTTCAACTCACTGTGCACCACAGAGCACAGGGTTCTCTTTTCTGTGGCTGTGGAGGTGTTGCTGTTTGTTGCCTGCACGTTTCTTTGCCAGAGCAGTCTCTTCCCTAAGCTTCCCTTTGACAAGTCTTGCATGCACACACCATTCATTTTGATGTAAAAACACAGATGAGCTGGTCTTTTATGATTCATCATATTCTTCCCCTTTAGAGGAAATAAGAAATTATAAAAGAAAGCTGAAACAAATGTACAGACGAATGGCACAGTTTATCAATCCTCACCATTAACGAGCCACACCGTGATAACATTTCTTAAAACATAGAAAACTGTGGACGTGTGCGGTTGGTTTGAAACAGCCAAATGTTTACGGTTCTGTCTGGCTTCACACAGTTCGATGCTTTGCACGGCGTGAAGGTATTTTCAGGCTTGCTGTTCAGGATCAGCATCTGGCTGGATTCAATAGAAGCCTGATCGGAAGCACGCCAACACAGCTAGATGTCACAGCTAGCTATGCCGGGTCTTAATGGTGTGATGTCATACTGATTATTCCACGTGTCACATGGGTGGGCACGGCAATGGCAGGGCTAATTATGGCACGTGGTGGGAGGGGGGATCTGGATGAATCATGGCTGGATGCCTTTGGGTATCTGGATACCTCTCTGCTGCTGACTAACAGGAAGAATGAACAGAACCTGTGCTGAAATTGTGAAGTGGGAGACAGGAGGACAGAGGTGTCTTACATTATGGCATTTACATGGCGGTCCAAGCGAGGTGAGGTGCAGCCCAAAATTTCTCCTGGTGACAGAGGTCGACACTGTGGTACCAGCACGTCATACTCCGGCTTGAGGGCTGCACTCACACCCTGCAGCATGGAGGAGGGAAGAAGGAAAGATAGTTAGAAATGTACATGTTTTGGGGTGCTCACCCGTTACCTTGTTTTAGAGTAGCCCTAGGTTTGGAATGCATTTGTACTTTATAAAGTTTTGTATATTGTTTATTTTTTACATCGTCAGTCCTTAGTATTTTCATTTGAGAGATATATATATATATATATATATATATATATATATATATATATATATATATATACGTATATACTGTCACTTCCTCCCTTTCTCACATCTACACATTTCATGGCTCCCCTCCCCAAGACAGTAGACAAACACTCATGCTAATTTGTCGATTACTTGGTTAGTTGATTTAATAAACAGATCTGTAAAACTGAGCTTGTGAATCACATTAAATATTGTGGTGACCAGAGATGTGCTCATAGGTTTCTTGGATATGAGTCATCCAGGATGAAAAAAGCATAAAAAACAATCAAGCAATCTTATTCGACTAAAGACCAAAATGACCAATTAGAGGAGACAGCTCTAAAGATGGCACTGAAAATGTGTCCCTAGTGTGATTTTGAATGGGCCATGTTTAACATAAATTTAACTCCCAATGTGGCCACTCATCGTGAAATGTGTGGATTCATGACTCTGCAGAGCACTGACTAAGAAACTGACTACCACATGACAAAAATAATGACATTAAAAAGATATAGATAAGAAGAATATCAACACATTACCAAGCGAGTTCTAATATTCAACTCTAAAAGTAAACTCTTCCATACACCCACGTTCATTTTAGCAAAGTGAGAAGATGAGAGAGTAAACAATTACAGCTAAAAAAAAGAGTAAGTGTGCTTGAAGGTGGAAGGATAAATGAAACGATCTTATTTAAGGCAGTCCACAGCGAATACGGGTGAACTCGCAGCTTCTCACGCCCATACTGTGTGACCTTAACAAGCCTACACACCATAAAACATGAGTGAGATGGATTCAATACACAGAGATATGCACACATATACACATGGATGCACTCAAACACCCCATATAAATATGACCCACATGGGCAGAGCATGGTGTAAAAATAACAGTTACATTAGTGAAGGCCCAAAGTGGTGTTTGTTCAACAAGGTAAATGAAAGCAACAGAATGCATTATAGAACGGAGAGGCAGTGAGCCTGAAAAAAAGGAAAGAAGAAGAAGCAGCTCAATACTATAGCTGCGGCCACTTCCACTGCTTATGTAAAGAGCAGAACTGAGCACGACGCTGAACCGGGAGGCCTTCCTAGTTCATTCCACCTTTCAAATCCCAAATAACTACTGCCAGATTTCTCAAACCCACACTTGAGCTGAGCTTAAGTGTGGAGTACGGGTTTGTTCAAAAAAAGCCAGGAACCAGATAAGGTATACTGTACAAATGCACAGAAGAATGTATATGTGTGTGTGTGTTCCTATACTGTACACACAAAATACAAATAGAAGTAAAACAGACAATACACACGTGGCAATGAGCATTCAGTTGAAAACGCAGAACCACATCATGGCAGCTGCCTCTGACTGAAAAATGGACTCATCCACATATACACACACACAATCAGACAGACCCAGTGTGCCTAATCACCTGCAGTGCTGCCACAAACTGAATAGTGCTGACGAGTGCCAGAGATTGTGCAGGAGGGAAGTTGAACTTGACCGTGTCCAGGAAGTGTGCGTTGTCCATCTGGATGTCCACAAACACATACAGCATCTTAATACCTGCCATGGAGTCAATGGGGACTGTAGGGAGACAAAGACAAAAGAAAGACGGATGAATAATTCATTCCGTTATGTCAGGTACACCATTGATGCTGGCTCTAACATTAGCACGCAGGACATGTTCAGCGAAACCACTATATGGGAACACATCACATGCATACATATAAGATCTCAGCAAGTACCGCTGTGATATAACTGAAGCTCATTCAGCGTGAATCTCCAGCACATGCAGCAACTGATGCAAAAAAAAAACTCAATTATTTAAGGAAGGAGAGGGACACATGCGATTACTATTACCACCATTAATTTCACAGGCCATTTACGACGCACCCGGGCCTAGGAGAGGTAGCTAGAACACGTGCCGAGTTAGATGCTGAAGAAGTAGGCGAGAGTCCAAGAAAATAGGGGCAAAGGGGAATTATCGTTGCCGTTGATCAGCGTAATTACTCTTCCTCTTGTGTTAAATCTAATTTGGAGATCAGGAGTGAGGGGACTTTTTATTTCTTTGTTATGATTAAGCAAATGGCCCATTATGGTGCGAATGTTTTATGAGTGAGTGCAGCTTGATGTTGAGATTAAAGCAACTTTGAGAGAGAGAGAGAGAGAGAGAGAGAGAGAGAGAGGGGGGGGGGGGGGGGGAGGGATAGTGGAGTAAAGTGGGACAAGGAGGCAGAAAAAAGAGAGGGTGAATAGAGATGGGTCAACAGGGAGAGACCGAAGATCTGTGAGATACACGTCTTTAAAGAGGGTTGAAGGCAGAGGGGATGGAGACCGAGGAATGGGAAATTCCAATGAAAGTAGGCTGGAAAACACTGAAATTCGATTTAAGGCCGGGGGTAGGCGGTTTAATAATGTACTGTATATATTCCAAAAGATAGGGCATGGAAGATAGGAAAGGAAAGAGTAATAGGATACTGTGTGTGGATGTGTGTTTGGAGGGGTAGGGGGGGGGGGGGGGTTGTCAATTAACTGAAAAGAGAAGTGATGAATGGGCTCACATCTCAGCAGAGTGGGGAGGTAAGAAGATGGATAAGGATTAAAAAAAGGGGGGGTGGGGGGTCTTTGCTTCAGGCCACATGTTGAGTGAGAAACCAAGGAGTTAAATATATCATGAGACTAAAAAGGACCGGAGGAGTTAAGTAAAACTCCAGCCTGCTTGTTTATAGGCACTCCCAAAACGTAAAGGGCAAAGAAAAGTGACATCGATCTGTGTTCACATTAGCATGGTAGCCTGAGAGCACTTAGACGCTGCAATTAGAGACACAGTCAATGAGATGGACAGGACTCACTTGCCCCGTCGGTGGTTTTATACATCTATGCCTTATAGCAATAAGGTCACTCAGTACAGCTGCTTATTAGCAGCCAATCGTAAACAAATACGCAGCCACATTCATTGCAAGTGAGACCGAGAAAAGGTTGAACATAATGGTATACTGGCTTATTTACAAATCAATATGTACTAACAGGTTCCATTCTATATTGTGCTCATGGAGAACTTCATGAATAATACAGCAATCACTTGGTGTCTGAACTGATCTATGTCCAATTTGTGGCGGTACGGCCGAAGTCGTATCAGAATTAAACTTCTGCGTCTCTCTAATGCAAACGTTTGTCATAAGCCTGAGCTGCCGCTGTTCAAAAAGCATTGAGGGAAGCCGTAACGGATGTTCTGTGGGTGAAAGTAAGACTTGAAGTCCCATAAATTATTTGTAATTGGCTAACTGTTTACTGGCCTTTTATGTCAACCAAAGCATCATGCTGGACCACGCCAATAACACCAGCTCAGACTAAAGTGGGTGCCCTGGGTAAGCTTTGCTTTGCAAAATGAGTGCAGCTAAAATAATGGAGACCAGGGTCCAGTAATACCAACAGCTGTGGCAGCAGGCCTGACACTTTTTTTCTTTTTTCTCCTGTTGCTTTTTTCCGCCTTTGTAAATAACCACAATGTAAGTGGAAAGTATAAATAAGTTTATTTTGTATAAGTTTATTTTGCTTCCCCTTTGCTTGCTCTCTCCTCTCGCTCTGACTCCCTTCTCTTTTCAGACGAGTCACACACAAAAATGTTGTTTAAACATCAAGGAGGTTAGATAAAAAACACCCATCCCTCATATCAGCAAATATTATTATTACTTCAAAACATGGTTTTATGATGTTGCCCATATTGCCCTGCACCAGATGGAGGTGCTTTATGACGACAAAAGATGAGATGGCACCAATATTCGCAAAAGCAGATACTCCAGAGGAAATGAAAGGGATGCAGGAGAGAAAGGTTCTCTCTGAGTCAGTAAGAACACAGTGTCTTTAATCTCCCACCGGTATCTGACATCATGGGCAACAGTGCATATGATGTCCTCATGATTGAGTGATGAAGGTCAGGAACACAAACACAGTGGCGCCCTTACACACGGATTCTTTGAGAATCTGTAGGTCATCTCATTTCTTTGAAATTCCCTTCTATCAATTAATATCTGGTCGAACTTCACAACCCACAACGAATTGAACTTTGGGGCTCTTTACCTTTGCTTTCCTCGGGTTCGTCCGAGTATACAGCCCATCTCTTTTGTAAACACACACACACACACACACACACGCAATCACATAATTCTTCCGCAAAGATCAAATAATGAAAGCGCACATAAGACACAACACACACGCAAACAAACAAAAACCACCACAGAGAGCGCTTTTCTGTGTATTAAAATTCTGTTGGTCATTTCTGGTATTTGGGAGAGGTGAGGTTGTTCTGGCGGGGATAGATATCAAAACTATTGATTTAGCATTTCTTCCCATGTTCTGCAAGAGACAGACGGCGGGGGCGAACGTGAAGGTCCTCAAGAACTTCTTGAGGTTTTCAAAGGACGGCACTAATGCATGTTCCCTATTGATCTGCTGGGTAGATGTGATGTCCAGGCTCCAAAGGTCTGATAAGCCTTCTGTACTAGAGCTGGGCGGGCTACAACTAACTAGTTTCATCTTGACATTGATCGATAGCTCCGTCTGTCGGTCCGTCCCTGACTTCTTTATCGTGCAGCCCACTCTCAGTAGGTGGTAGTCCACGATGCTCGCCCACTTCACGTTCCTTTGTGTGGTACAATCATGCATGCAGAGCGACGGACAGACACAGACAAACGTGCACACAGACAGTGTAGGCACTCACTGAGACAACTGTGGCCGTAGTGCACCATGAAATCCGCTCCTAGGGCTCGAGCGGTGAAGTCGTCCACGCAGCAGGCCCCGTATGTCACGTCCCCCATCACAATGGTATCTGCCTCCGTGAACCTGGGATGCACACACGCACACACACACACACACACACACACACACACACACACACACACACACACACACACACACACACACACACACACACACACACACACACACACATTTCAGTGCAGTCATGGACCACATGCACATCCTGTTGTTCGTACAGAGCATGCCAAGCACGGTGTGATTATGAGAAAGCTGAATTAGATCAATCCCTATCTACTTGCTACAGATAGAGTACATTATATAGTATCTGACAGCATTGTCAGTCAATGAATGACTCACAGCATGACACACTTCTTTTTGCTCCCCATGACCGGCAGCCAAAGGCCTGAGTGCGGCACAAGCTGTCTGGTAGTTAAAGCCCTGCCAGACGAGGGCTAACAGGTCATCAGTCAGCCTGGTCACAGAAAGGAGGCTTCGCAAAAAGAAGAAGCAGTAGGAGACGAGGGCTAGGACTGGTACACATAAGCAGATCAGAGTTTGTAGGGGCCTGGGCTGTTCTATCTGTGGCCTGGGTTTACAGCACATCTGTCTGGGAAGAGGAGAAACAGCCTCAGCAAAAGTGAACGCTTGCAGCATTCTAAAACACTATTCAGACTAGATGTTTTATGCCACAAGTAGAATGTGAGAGCGTAGCACTGTTCATGTGGGGCTAATGTTCCACTTTGCGCCTGTAATAGAGAAAAAAAAAATAAAAAATCATGGCCTTCTTCAGAGAAAAAAAACACCCAATTACACAGGCATCTGTGGACCCAGATCTGTTAGAATGAATTGCTGATCGCATTACAGAAAAACAAACTCTTTCTTTTATCGCCCTTTATGGCCGAATAAAATGCTAAGTAAACCCTTAAAGGCTAAATAAAAGGCTGAAAGTAGCAGGGGGGAAGAGCAATTGAACAGAAAGCTTGAGGCATTGTCAGGGAGGAAAGATGGGTAGACGAGGGGGTGGTTGTAAATGGTGGTTGTTGCCAGGTATTTGTGGCTGTATTCTGACAGATTTAGGCTAGACAGAAGGGGTAGAATAGAGATGAGACTGAGGGCTCGGGGAGAAGAGCAAAGTGATAAACAGACATGGCTGCTCGCAGCACAGCATCTGTAGCGACCAACAGGCTCTTAGTAATGTGTCTCCTGCTTCCCAATCTTTCAACCCACATCCACTCGCTCTGTTTATTTCTCACTCTGCGCCATGCGAGGGGCTTCTGACAAAGTTTCCATTTAGCCTTTCCTCCCTCATTTTCTCTGATGCAAGCTCTGAGTTGCACTCTCTCCGGGCCCCTCATCAGCGGCCCCTAGCTTTCTACGTCGTTTCTCTTTCACTCTCGCTGTCCCTTCTCCTCTAATGGTTGCTCGCAAGTGAAGGGCAGCGCCGGCCAGCTGAGCACGGGCAAACATAGACAAACATAGACAGAGCAACTCATCTGGTAAATAAATATTTGCCTTGGAAGATTTGAATCAATTACCCTCTCTCTTGTCAAGGTTTTGATTTGTTGCCGGTGTGTGCCCACTTCGCACTGCGTACACATGCATACAGTCGCCAGTAGGAAGGTAATTATGCAGTTTGAGGTCTGTGGGCTTGTGCACTAGATTCCATATTCACTGCAGCCCATTGTTCTTTCATCGCAGTCCACTGAATTGTTTGAGTTGCATAAATGTGCATGAACCTTTCAGCTAAAAATACACAGCCTGCCCACCAGATGAAATAGAGACTATCCCCTGCAATCCACTGCAGATCATGCGGAATCGTCTACAATGCAAAACACAGCGCCACAGAAAAATATCGCATCTAACCATCAATCTATCTGCCAGAAATACCATTATCATGTTATCTTCATTGGTAATACAGTTAGTCATTTCCAGAGAGAGGATGCTGAAATTTCATAGTAATAAATGCGAAGAATCCAATTAAGAGGCCCCATGAGAGACATGTGATTCTACTGGGACATGGGCAGAGTAATTACTGGGCAAGTCTCATATCTCACTGGGAGAGAGGGAGAGAGGGAGAGAGGGCGAGAGGGAAGATAGAATGAAAGAACATCAGAGCGAGAAGGACAGAATGAAAAGTATATCAGTGTTAATCAAATCCCATTTCTAACGCACGCTATCTCATACGAGACATACTGTATATGTACGGTGGGTACATATAGAGCACAAACGCTCTCGTTTCCATTTACACCTCTCTCTATCTACCCTTCCTTCTCTCCCGTCCTGCATGCGCTTGTCTCTAGTGTCAGTCACTTCTGTTTCCTTCCAGTATATCAGCACTGCCTTTGCCTCATCTCAGGGTGCTCAGTTCAGCCATTCCAACTGAAATGTCATTAAGATCTAATTAAGATGTCAGAGAAGCTTGTGAACTCCATAACAGCCCTTGTTAATGAGCTCTTTAGCATACGGCTCAGTATGTGTGAGAAATAGCCAACTGATCCGAATCTTTGTTTTAAAAAACACTGCGCTAGTGTGTGCCGCAAACATAAGTCTAGGAGCAGAGTGCAGTATAAATATGCACACATACGCCAGCATGAGTGCAAATGCACACTGACGCAGACTGTGAAGTGCATGCCAGCTGATTGCATCATTGGTTAAATAGCATTTCATTCCGCTCCACTATTTAGGATTTAGGATTTTATTAAGATCCATATTAGCTGACTCTGTCTGGGGTCCACACAAAACATAAAATCCTCACGACGGATAACACACTTGCAGACTTTTTCTGAACAGATAAATTCCTCCCCATCTTTACAACAAGATGATTTATATGCCTCGTCCACGACAGTCCACAGTCGAAAAATAACACCAGGAAGCTTTGTCTTATGATAGTCTGTGATATGTTTAAAATGTGTCTATTACCCATTCTCTTTGTTGAGGGTTGCAGTGATTTCATTTACTGTGGGTGTTTGCATGCATATTGCTGTATCATCTGCATACATGGAAGTGGAAGATCATTAATGTAAGCAAAAAAAAAGTAAAGGCCCGAGACAACTTTCTTGCTGTCCTAGTGGCGGAAAATGCACACAAACTTATACTAATCTTCCTGCTGCAGTCATCTGGAGATGATACACTTGTCTGACTTTGACAGGAATGTTTTCTGATGCCGGCTTAGAAGAGGAACAGCTCTGAGATGTTAGCAGCAGACAAAGAGAGTGAAAAACGTCTCCTGTCTCAGAACATTCCCATTAGCCCTCACAAAGCCATTCTGTTGCCAATTTATCTGTTGATGAAAGGTGTTGGACTGAATTAAACGAAAAGGATTCCACCATGTGTTTGAATAACAGTTGATTAAAGGTTTGCTGTGTTTTGAGGTGTGGGGAAGTTGCAGGTCATTTGTACGCCGACACTCGGTGCATTGGTCTTGGGCCCATCGGCTTGAGGAAGCACAATAGTTTAAAAGGCTCTTATAACTGCATCTTTATATTCAAACAGGTCATAGAGAATTACAGCATTCTGTTCTTAAAATTTAAACGCTGTAATATTTTTTGGGCTGACTAAACAATGAGGCTAGATGATGTATTCTACTGGATTTACATTTTCTTCTGGATTTTTCTGCATGCAAATTCCCCGTTGATGTGTTTCAAGGAGTGCGAGTGTGCATAAGTTGGTGGGAAGACATTTCTGCTAACAGCTGATGTTGTTGTTGTTTATTTATTCAGAGAAAGCAGACCGACTGTATTGTAGGCAACAGTGCTTCACTATGATATGTTCACAAAAATTCATAACCGTGAGGCGACATGTACAATATCAGACATCAACTTAAACAGTTGTGTTTCAGATATTCCTGGGGTCACACACAAAATGTGATGCTTTACTCTGATGCACGGCCCCTCAGGACATACACAAATCAATTATGTCATTCATATCCATGTGCAACACAAGTTTAATGTTGTAAAAGTTCTAGATTTGATACTTGGATAGTTATGTTTTGAAGCAGTAGCCATGCATATGTCATATCTTTGTAATTGTGTACCTGTTATGGTACAGGATATGTATAATTGCTAGCAATGGTTTGTTTCACTCTAAACCATTAGCGGTATAGCTGTAGCTTAAAAGCGTAGGCTGTAATAACAAAAACAGCCATGTAGCCAAACAGTAGGTCTCGGGCACAAAATTACTTTCAAAGCCACCATACCAACCTCCCTTCAAATAAATTTTGGAATATAACTGGTCGAAAGAAAACTTTTTTTATATCTGGATTGTCCTCTAGATAATTGTCGATGCTTATGCTAATTTGATTGAACTGTTAATCAGTCTACCCTCTTGGCAATATCGTATCTACAATGCTTCACCCTTAATTTACATGATTTGCTGCAGGAAAACACAAACAATAGTCATATTCAAAACACTGTAACACACCAATTACATCAATATTGAAGTACTGAGTCAACAATACTTTTTTCAGTATTGAAAAGCACGACAATGGCCATTAGGTTGAGGCTTAGATCCTCAAATGCTTATGTTGTCAAGTCTACCACTCCATCTCCACTGTCCCAGAAAGTGGGTTAAGTGCCTTGCTCTAGGGCAAGGCAGAATGGAGAATGAAGGGAAAATGTTACTGCTCGTCTTCCATACACTCATGTTCTCCTATTGGTCTGCTAATGTAAAGGATGCAGGAAGGAAAGAAAAAAACAAATATTATGATTCTATGATGCTTCACTATACTAATGAGTGGAGTGCAATGAAGCCCATTTAAGAAGAACAACAAGCTCTCATAAGCTGCATTAGTGCTGCTTGTTATGCATTTAAAAAGCATTTGCTTTAGTAAGTGTGTGGATGGTCAACAAGCCCGACAGACAAAAAAAAAAAAAAGGAAAAGAAAAACTGGTCACAATTGAACTTTTCACAGTCATCTGCCATCATCAGGCTAATCCAATTAGTAAATGTGCATGCGTCCGTATTTGACATGATTATATTTGTTCAGCAGCAATTTTGCAACATGGGTGGGAAAACAATTACAGTTTCCAGGTTTTTAAGTTTTGCATCGCTTGGGGTCAGCGCTAAACGTCACAGTACTTTTATGG